TTGAACCTTCCCCTTTACCCGAAACCCGACACGGACTTCAAGTGCAATCTCATGTAGTGGCAGAGCATTGAAGTGGCTCACCGAATGAATGTTCACTGACCGAAGTACCGAATGCTTGCAGATGGGTGACAACGGCACGCAGCGAGTCAGCCCATTGCAGCACAGTGTTCCACATCAGCACTGCGCTGAGCGATTTTGCGCCACCGAAAACGAACTGGCCATGCCGGCAGCGAGTGGTTGCCACATTTAAGCGTCGATAATCATTGATGAAGTCCGCCGAGTCTGGAGAGAAATTGGTTTATGTAGTGCGTAGAATAACAACCTCTTTCCCCATCCTTGAACGGAGTCCGCGGTGATGAGCTCGACGTTATATTTTTCGGTGTACGGCTTCATCTTAAGATACTGCTCTTTGTAAAAGGTGATCACGCAGATGTCTTGCGGGGAATATCGATGTCTAGAAGCCTGAGCAAAACGCCTGTGCATGCTGAGCTTTCGTTTTCGTTGGAGTGCGACTTACTAGGAGCCGTTGCTGATTTGCCCGCTACATCTACTCGTAGGAGCCGATCCATGACACGCGTGCTCCGTGAACGGTCGGCGTTCACTCAACATGCGCAGCGAATTGGTGGACATCTCCTATATAAACTTGGCGCAAGTGTGGGAGACGGCAAGCGATCGTGAGGAGAGCCGACCCCGGGACTTAAGACACTTCGCCTCCGATAACTGTCCTAAAGTCGCGAATGTAGGATTTAAAGACCCCCCTGTGACGGGCGGAGTTAAAAAGGAACGAAGTTGTTATACAGATGACCGAAGAGCGTCGAACCGAAAACATAATTTTCACCATGCGCTTGAAAAAACGTACTGCTCTGCTATATCATACTCATCCTTCCGGTCGTCCGTCATGTTGGGTATGATTTCGGGATGTTCAATATCATTTTCAGGAACCGCGGCACTCTTTGAACAACTGGCACATCTCGAGATCTTCTTCTGCTAATATGTAGATCCTTACGATCGTCTCCAAGAAACTTCAAGACCTTACTAAGGGCAACCGGAGTAGGTGTCAGATTATTGGCTGCCGCTGTATCGAAAATGTGTCGCAAAACTGGCATCTGAGGGAAATCCTCGAGGGACAGTAACGTGCCCGTAAATTGCGCCCCCTGTGTTAGAAGAGGTCGCCACGTTCACTATGAATTCGCTGTCCTCAGATAGCAGCTATGACTGCCCAACGAAGGCTTTCTCGGTCCCGAATGCGGCCTGAATGGCTACAAGGTGAATTTTCTCTGTGCCGACACATACTGCGTCTCGTTGATCAAATGTGAGCGTCACGGTCTTCCTATGGGTGGTGAAAGATACATAAAATAAAACTCTAGTCTAGAAGCTGGTTCGCGTAAAGAATGATGATCATCTGGTCAGCCAGGGTGCGCGGCATCAGACTGTCGAAGACGCCATCGGAGACCCGATATCATATATATTGGGCTTGCCAAGTCGGACACATACATCGTAGGCACGCGATTATGTTATTTCCCCCCTCCCCCCCGCGATGCGCTAAACAAGCCGCTTATGTGGTTCATGTGGTAAGAAAAAGGCCTGTTAACGACTATGACTTGTTTGCATAGAGAAATTGACTCTACTGTGACGACTTTCATTTTAATGAGGTTAGGAGCTCCTGGCATTCATAAGACTGCGTTTCGGCCCGATGCCCTTCCAGTCTATGATGCCATGTCCCTCAACGTCACTTGGACGCGGAGGAGGTGTCACTCCCGGGGTGACTACAGAAGCAACTTCCCTGTGCGTAGGCCTACCATCTCCTGCCGCATTTACTGCAGCTAACGCCGAGCATGCGGCATTACCGATCTTGGCTACGCGTAGTTTCGACTCAACAGGGTCTCTGTATAAAGTTGCCAAAGCGACCAAGACGGTCGGCGAACCAGGCATGTTTTCCGGTGGAGAACTTGAATAACGAAGGGGGCAAAAACTGTTCGTCAGAGTGCATTGGCAAGAAGCAACGAATAAGCCCCGCTGAGTGCGCTCTAGGGACACGGGGTGCGAGTAGCCGAAGAGACGTCAACTCGTGAATGAGCGCCCAGATTCTCATACAGGACCGTCCGATTCAACGAAAACGAACAAACCGAAGGGGTAATTGTAAGGGCATCAAGACAACCTTCGAGGACTGTTCTCACGTGGATGACGACGTTATAGCGGGTAGTACGGAATAGTACGATCCCATAGATAGATTCTGCGCAATTGGTTACAGATGCGAAAGCAAAGTAGGAGACTGTGAAGAAGAAGGAGTAGGTGATTTTTATCTACAGCGAGGCTTTGTTGGAACCTCGGCTGCCTGTAATCACTTCTATGAAATACTGGTCGAACGTGATGCAGTGTAGGTAGCGACGGACCGAGCCCATAATAAAAAAAAATCTTCAGCCTCCAGTACTACACCGGCACCCCATCCGGTGACAACTACCTTATAAAGCACAGGGTGATACCTATATACGCGAGAGAACCCTGACGGAGTCTGCTGGTCCAAAGAAGAAGGCCCCATTCAGCGACATCAACTTCATCATGGCTATCTGTAAGAAGCTGATTAAATACTTGCTTAGAAAGTGAAGTCGATGGTGTTCTCTGGGTGTTGGATTTAGATGAAGGGGACGTGATCGGTAATTTATCCGCACGGAAGAGCACTCACGGGAACAAGAACGTATTAAATCGCATCGACATGCATCTGTCACTCGGGGGGTGCCGGTACACGGACTCCAAGGTTGTGGTCGCCTTGAAGAGGTCTTCACGGAGGAAATGCACAGGCCGAGGGTTGACGAAACGAGCCCATAGATGTTTGTCAATTAATTGATTGGTGAACCCTTTCGGTGTATCGTGCGTCAACTGAGAAAGAGGTGCCTCGGGGAGCGGTCCAAGAAGAGCGATGTTCTAACCAGGCGGATCTGCCTGCGAGCTTACACCGACGACGAGATTCCTCGCCCTCGGGAGCCAGAAGAGCTGTGCTTAGTGGCCAAAGTAGACGAGGCAGGGCACGCGCGGAAACAAGCCGATCTCCGTGGTGAGGTGGGTCCGCAGGAAGAAATCTGTATGCTCCAGACGGAAAGCCTGAGGTGACAACGGGCTTGCGCCGACTTGATTGGGAGCGTCTGCTCATGGCCGGATGAGTTTAACTCTCCGAGAGGTTAGGGTGGTCCAATGTGTGAGAGTTGTTCGGAAGAGTTGGTACTAGAAGTTAGGTGAGAGGACGTAACTTATAGTCAAGGTGGTACGCCAGAGGGCGGGAGACCAGACGCGATGTGATCCTGCTCTGGCGAGTATCTTTTGTCCAAGGTTGTCAAGTGCTTACGGGTGATTCTCGATAGCGTCCCACTACGTGTCAAAATTTCTTTCCGCGTGCGATCAGCTCTCAAAATGATCAAAGACTTTGTTCGCGGCCGGCGCGACGAAAGAGGAAGGTCCGAGAACAAATAAATGAGCAGTACGTAGGCTGCCTTTTATATTTTGAGATTTGAGAAGAGAAACAAATACTATTTAGTGAAAATCGCTTTACTGCCTTTCGAAATTTTCCACATTAAGATCTATTCACTTTTGCATGGGCTCGAACCAATTTTCGAAGCATTTTTGCCACTCTGATGTAGGTAACTCTAAAACATGGTCTGGACGCATCAGTGGCTTCTTCAGGTGTCGAAAAACGTTGACCTCTCATTTTATTTTTTACGTACGGGATGAGAAGAAGTCACTCGGGGACTACATGGCTGATGACCTGTCAAATCGTTGTTTTGAGTGCTCAAGAATGCAGTTGTTTGTGCCGATGTGTGGGAGCTCGCATTGTCGTGGTGAAGAGTGGTGCGTCTTCAGCAGTTGTTTTTCCTGATTTTTTGGAAGTCAACTGGCAAACAAATGGTGGTATACCATTCAGAATTGACTGTTCTGCTTGTCCTAGTGGTACGGTTGCGGCATGTCCAGTTTTCTCAAAGAAACAGGAGAACAATTGCTGGGAAGTGCTTGGTGCGCGGACAGCCTTTGTTGGATTTGGCTCATCTTGAAATACCTATACGGTCGACTGCTGTTTCCTTTCGGGCTCATACGCATAAAACCATGATCCATCACCTGTCTCGATGTCATAGACGTGTTTCGAAGCACCGCGATCGTATTTTTCTGAGCATTTCTTTCGACCAATCGACATGAGTCCCTCTTTTTGGGGGATTGACAAATTTTCCAAAAACCATTTTTTTACAGTCAAATGTTCATGCAATATTGAATCGATGGTGGTCCCACCAATGCCTTAGGTTGTTCCAATCTCACGATAGGTCACATGACGTTCTTGCAGTATTAGTTTGTGCACAGTATCACCGGTTTCCGGAACAACAACTGATTTTGGACGACCTCCACGAAATTCGTCTTCGAGTGAAGTACGACCTCGGGTGAACTCACTCTACCATCGATAAACACTGGCCGTGGATGGAGCTTCATCATCAAAAGTTGAACTAAGTTCATCCATGCATTGCTGTTGAGTTAGTCCACGTCGAAAGTTGTAGAAAACACTCGCGCGAAAATGCTCACGATTCAACCCCATAACTTGGCCTAAACACAACCTTATAACTTAGTGTAAACAACACAAATCGCACTCAAATTTTGCAACGTAACCCCAAAATAGTCAAACTTTTCGATAGTGGTGTCAGCTGCTAGATTGCTACACAGGTGTTGCCAAATCTCAAAATATAAAAGGCAGCCCTCGTATCAATGCTTTAGCTATTTGGAACCTAGATAGCTAATGAGGCACTATCGTACATTACGTAGTACCTGTCATAACCTTTCGTCATGCTTACGAGGACACCTGAACACCTTCTCTATTCAATCAGTACCTCCAGCGAGGTCTCAAAAAAGGGGAACTTTGCAAGTTCCTACAGCAAAATACAAGATGCTGGGATTTCGTGAGTTCTCACACCGAAGAACGAAACACTCCGCCCACAGGGGCCAGTATGTAAGCCATCCATTTTTAGGGTATGAAACCCCAGTTTAGGCCGGTTCCGGATTTCGGCAACTCGGCAACTCGGTGGTTCTCAGTCGGGCAATGCTACGAGCGGCACTGCTCTCATCTTCGATTTCCTCATCTCCGCTCTTCAACGACCCGATTCCAAGGAGGCCAGACAACCGTTGCTACAACAATGATCAAGAGCGGTGCGATACAAGCAACTCGATGGAGAGAAGCAGGGCGCAACGAATTGTCGACTACCAAATTCACCACCGTCAATCCCAAAGAAAAAGAACACTAACTACCCTCGCACAATCACTTAGACTAATCTTTGTGATGATACGAGACAACTCCATGACTTGTTAACACAATAGAGGTTATGATAGATATCTTATCACTCGTGCACTCTACCTACACAAAACACTTATACTTATACGGCTCGTCTTCACTCATGTGGGAGCACCAGCAAAAAACCATTCGCTTCTGTCTTTCGCGATCGCCATCCACGGTAGATTGAGGATTCGACGAAGATGGCGATGTGAGGAGTCGTTCAGCTGCTGTCGCAGCTGTTTCACGTGATCGGCAAGCACATCTCCCCATCTCGCAGCAGGCCTACCCTTAGATCGTGAAGATCCTAAGACAGCCCACTCGACTGTTCTTCTTATACATCTGTCACCATCTCTTCTCATTATATGACCGGCCCATCGAAATTTCGCGTTGTTTATGTATTCCACCGGATTGCGGAGTCGAGACATTCTGCGCATATCGGAGCTGCGGAGTCCGGCTCAAATTTGCGTGAGTAGGTTGAACTTCAGAAGACATTGCTCGAGCGCTCTGTGACTTGTGCTCGAAGCCCTTGACGTGGATGCACTGTTCACCCAAGTCTCCGACCTGTAACAGAGCACAGGAAGAACTGTGGAATCGAAAAGATTAGCGCGACGTTCTGCGGGTCAGCCAGATGGTTGGTAACCTCTTTCATAGGTCCGAAAGCTGCCCACGCTGCTTTCTGCCGTCTCACCAGTTCTTCCCTCATGAACTGTGTCTTTGTTTGGTCGATCCGCAGCCCTACCTTCTTTCCTGCTTTATTAAGCTCAGCAAGCATAGGCTCAGCTTCTGCAATACTGCTTGAAAAGAGAACGATGTCGTCCGCAAAGCGGAAATTTGAGAGGGACCGTCCGTCCACACGAATACCCTTTTCGTCCCACTCGAGCGACTTCATAACCCACTGCAGCGCGGCTGTGAATAGCTTCGGCGAAATAGTGTCGCCTTCTCTCACACCTTTCCCTATGGTAATGGGGGGAGGTCGTTGGACAGCTTCACCGTCGCACTGCAATGACTGCTGCAGTCAGCTAGTGTTGTTATGTAGGCAGGGTCCACTCATTGATCGACAGTGCTGACAGGACCGCATTCGTTTCAACGCTGTGAAAAGCGACAAAGGTAAGGACAAGATGCATTCGGAATTCTCGGCACACTTCGATGACCATTACGACCGCTTGGATGTGGTCTATGCAGCTGAATCCCTCCCGAAATCCAGCCTGCTCTACAGAGTGAGCTTCATCCAGCGTTCGCGATATGCGGTTCAGAGATCTTCGTGAACAGCTTGTAAAGAACACTTAACAAGCTTATTGGGAAGTAATCGCTAAGATCATCCCGGTCTCCCTTCTTGTGAAGAATGACCATCCTCGAATTCCTCCACTGATTGGGGACTTCTCCTTCTGGAGGTAGGATGTCATATGTGTTGCGAGAAGCGCATGAAGTTCGTAGCCTCCTGCAGTAGGTCGGCTGAGATCTTGTCGGGACCTGAAGTTGAGCCCGTTTTCATGCTCGTAATCGCAACTCTCACCTCCGAAGGAAGGATCCGAGGGGTTGTTCTGCCAGTGGGATTTTTGGTTCTCGCACGCATGGAGTTGGTGTGAAACCTTTGTGTAACTTCCTCCATCTCAAATCTCCATGTTGTAAGTGTTCCGTCCTATTTCTCCAAACACGAAAGTGGAATACGTGGTTCTGAAGATCCCGATGACATTTTCTCCGACTGGTTCTGTTCAAGGCTGCCTCCAGTAGCCTCCTCTCCTTGTATAGCTGAAAGTCCCGCCGCACTTCTTGTCTGCAGCTGATATTCGCTTGCAGCTTTTCGAGATGTGTGGCGTTCTTGTCAAGCCTCAAGTTTCTTCTTGTTCTGAGAAAATCCTTCGTCGCACCTGAAATGCGCGCGGAGGTATCCATTCGCGGAAGCTTAGCCTGTTCAGCACAAGTGAGGAGACCCCGAACCAGCGATTCGTAGTCTTCGGTCGCGTCATCCAGGACCTGCCAGTCATATCGGGATAAGACGTCATTCAGAACATCTCCGTCGTATACAACATGCTTCGCGCTCTTTGCGCGATGTTGAGAGATCTTTTCCAGTTTGTGACTGAATCTGATCTTAGCGAGAAGGAGTCAATGATGGAACCACTGCAAAAAGATGGTACCACACCAACATCTAGTAAGCACCACTTTCTGTTTGTTAATATGTGGTCCAGTTCAGCATGAGTTGTACCGTTTGGGGACTCCCATGTCCAGCGATGTTCCTTCTTCTGAAAGAAAGAATTTCCATGAAAGAGTCGAGCCGCGGAGAGGAGTCCCTCTAGACGGTTTCCGTTCTCGTTCCTGTCCTCCATTCCCAACTTTCCAATACTGAACTCTTCATCTTGTGCTTCGCCCAGCCTAGCGTTGAAATCTCCAACAACGAATTTGTAGGAGGACTTTCCGTTGCGGATGATTTCCTCAAGTTGGTCGTAAAATGCATCGAGCTCTAGTGCGTCAGCTCTAGAGTGTGGAGAGTAGCAGTTGACGATAGAGATGGTCTTCATGTGCGTATGTCGTAGGCGTAGGATGGCAAAGCAAGGAGAAAGGATCTCGTGAGAATCGACGAGATGGACGACAGATGGGTGCACGACGAAACCAACGCCGCCGACTTTCCGCGGTATATTATGGAAGCTTTTCACCACGAATGATGAGGGTTCCATCGTTCATTCGTCGCACGTCGGTTCTCCTGCTCTTGGTTTCTTGCGGCACAATCACAGGATATTTAATGGGAGTAGCCGCTTCGAGAAGCTCATGGAGAGCCGTATTGGAAGAGACTGTTCTCGTGTTGTAGGTATAGAGTAGGAAACAGTCTCTGGTCGTGTGGAGGAAGTGCTGCGATAGTCCAGAATCCAAGGCGCCCTGCGCAACCCGAGATTTCTTTGCCTCTCACCAGTCGCCATACCGTTTGACGCCGGAGATGGCTGGGCCCAGTGCGCGGGTTACTGAGGCTGTTTTATTGCTGTTTAAGCAAGCTTGCCCACTGGGGTCTCAACACTGCCTTGCCAGGGCGAGTGCTGAGTCTTCACTATCGTGGCTATAGCCATTCTGAATCAGAAGGAGCTGAGGCTCACTCTTAGCCGTTCAGACATGCAGACGTGCCGTTAAACTATTAGTTATATATAGATATTTACATAAATGGTAATTGAAAAATGATGAAGGCTCCAAAGCAAATCTCCGTCGACAGTAGTAAATTTAGGCGAAAGTTTTCGAACCATACGAGCCGACAACTGATGGTAGTGACGAGAGCATGTGGCAGGGCGACAGGACGCCTCCCCTTTGGTAGGCTGATGTTTCCACGCGCGAGTCCCGGTCCTCGATCCAGAACGCGATAACTCAGACGTAACGTGCCGGGGCTTGCTGTGCGCAACTTAACGCGTGAAGAACGAGTTCAACCGCGACCTTGGACCTCGAGCGGACGGACAAGGGAGACTCAAGCAAGGAGGCCGCCATCGCTCCAGTTCTTCGCACGTCTACCTGACCACAGCTTCAAAGGCGAAGTCGGTCAAGATAAACCCCTGAAGAGCACCGGAGCTTTGCATTAGAGCTTGTGATAAAATACTAAAAAAACCAAAAAGAAACAGGAATATTATTGTTATATAAACAAAATTTCAAAAAATCGGTTACGCCTACAAGCCTAACCGCCACGAGATGTTTATAAGAACTAAAGAGAAAGAAAACACCAGCTTTCCATCAATTCTATATAGATTTACAGATTCTATATAGCATATTAGAAACAAGAAAAGTTAGAGGACACAGCGCAACAGAAATCATCAAACAAAAACAAGTCACCAGCGCAAGGATGCAGTTCTCAGGTCAGAGTTCGCTTGCACGAAGAATTTCAACTTGAACGAGGAGGCTTGGGAAACACCGCTCATCACCTTTTCGTACCTACCACTTACCACTATATATACTGACTACTTTTGTAAAAGCTCAACTCCGTCCAAACAACAGTCATCGCTTCAATGTTCAAGACCTCTTCGCGTCATGCTACACCGCTCTCCACAATTTCTTCTACATCTGCGGTTCTCAATAAAGATCAAAAGAGGCAAAACCACATCCACATATACTAACATTATCCAATGGAATTCCAAGTCCTCTCATCTTTGAACCTCGGCATGTCTGTTGTTCTTGAAATCGTTAGTTTTTGCTTCTGCCTCGAGGTTTGTGGGTGGAAAGATTTATTCTGGCCGGCGTTTCGGCGGA